ATAGACTCCCAATCCAATTCCTAAAATCATGATCACAATCTATAAAATAGAACCACAAACTAGAAGAAAAACAAAGATTAAAGTTATGCCAACTTACAAGTTCTCCTAAGATACGTGCAACTTCAACTGGATGAATAATGAAGGGCTCCCCACTGCGTCTTTTTTGACCATCGTGAGCATCAAAAGCAAGCTGTGCCAGCCACAGCTTATAAACATGAATCCCCAAATCTAAAATACAGAATTCACCAATGAGGGAAAAATGGATAATCAAGTGATACCTTTAGGGCTTTCTGAACCAATTCGAGTTCACCAGGAGGTAGGTATGAGATGCTGGGTTTAAGATCCTGAGGGGCAGCAAGGAAATAGACAAAGTTACAAACCCTGGATAAGTAACTGACTAAACATGCACATATCAGCTAAAGCTCATGGTCAGACCATGCCCCCCAAAATTTTATAGGAAAGGCATTCAGTTTTACACAAATAAAGCCAGAAAACATAAAGTGAAAATTTTAAATAACTATTCTAAGAAGCTCAATAGGTCCTTTACTTTTCTCTGCTATACCTATTTGAAATGAGCTAACCTTGCCGAGGTTTGCATAAAAAGCTAGATCCTCCAAGCAGATTTTAGAATAATTCAGATTTCATGTTTTTACAGGCTAACTAGGTTAGTTTATACAACAAAAGTCATTGAAAAGCAATATAAAAAAATTTAGGGAAAAATATCAAAGAAGTGTTCCCATCTGCATGAATATTATGCCCTAATCAAGAGAAACATAACCACCGAATAATCTTATGACACATGTCTCATTAACATACTTCCCCCGATCTTTATTAATCGCAGCATATTCCATTTTGGAAGTGGCAAATTAATTGCAAAATTACTTTATTTGAATTATGATTCTCTCTATCTATGTTTTTATCACAAGTCCTTTTTACTCTTTCTATCCCTCCCAGTTTCCCCCCACACTGCAGTTTTTTTTTTTAAAAAAAGGAAGTAAATCTTAGTCTATAGCATTAAGAATTGGCCTACCTCTTGTGAAATATTTACATTGAAATATATCAGCCAACGCCCAGATTTTACAAATAGTGTGTCAGTTAGCTTCATTATTTTCAAACAACCATTACAATTAATTCTTGACTAGATCAACTCACTGCCTTACTTTTCTCCTCAACTTCAGTTTACATATCCAATGAGGGAAAAAAAACACCTATTAGCCTGGCTATTAATACTTCAACTATTAGACCAGACAATGCTTCTTTCATTTCCCGTAAGAAAAAATCGACTCATACCAATCATTCAAAATTAATTGAATAACTAGTATAGTATTTATAATTTAATTATATATTCTATTAGATAACAATAAATGAGTACTAAAAGTAAGAAGTATTAGGCCTAGCTTGTAAAGTAAAGATTGATGAGATATTAGCTTTTTGTATGCAATCAGATGGTTTGACCACAAAATTAGCTATTTTAGTATTTGGAATATAGATAATTTAAAAGGTTGGAGTACAATAAGCCGATTCAAAAAGGCTGCTTAACTCAGCTTTTTGTTAGAGTTGTTGCAATTCTTGCAATAAACTAGTTTGGTTTTTTGTAAATTAGATGGTTTAAAAAGATCAAATGCAACCAGCTAGTAAAACCAGTTAACTAGTTTTGTCAACCAGCTACTAGCTAATTACAAAATAAGGCCTTAATAGCTACATATCAAATTAAATTACTAGATATTGAACCTAAAGAAATAAATTTTACAATGCCAAATCAATAAGTAAAAGTTCTTTGGACCTCTTTTCCATCTCTTCATTTTATTTTTAATAGATTCTCAATGCATTAAAGCAAATAATTTTACACATGTACATTCTCATATAGACATTTATCATCAAGAACTAGCAATCCTCTAGAAAGTATAATTGCAAACGCTCGTACGAAAGATAAACACAAAATGATACTAAAGAGCTTCATTAAAAAAACGATATTTCAACCATGTCATACTCCGAGCAATCGAGCATACCTCCCACAAACTTTCAGCTGTAACATCATCAATTGCATTAGCACCAGACGATGACGTGCAATGCCATCTCCATCTTTTCGAATTCGAATGCTGCAAGTTACCCTTTAACATCCATTCAGAATCAATTAAGCAGGAAGTCTCTGACATATGACTGATTCTAGCATCAGGAACCCTACATCTCTGTTCAATTAAAATAAATAAATTATAAAACACTAATTCTCCATTTTAACAATACAATTAATCAGGAAGATGCTCACATGTATATGCCGGTTGAATCTTCCATTAGAATTCGGCGAAGACGACGACGACAACGACGAAGAACTCTGAGTAGTACTAGCTAAAGAACCAGTAAGAGCCCTAGGAGCTTTCCAAGCACAAGATACAACACTACAATAAAACCTCCCATTACTTCCTTCTCCTCTCCATAACTTCAACTTACACACACTCACACATTCAACTGAAACATTCACCATAAAAACCACGAATTACATTGAAAAATTCCAAATTCAAAATTCAATTCGGAAAAACTGAAAACAACAACTCAAAATCAAAATTCAATTGAACTCAAAATTGAACTGGATAAACAATCGAAATTGAGAATGGAAAGAGTACCTGAAATCGAAGGAGAAGACGCCATGTTCTAGAGCGAAGCATGAGGAATTGAAGCAGACATGGAAGAGAGAATTGGAGGAGAGAGAAGAGTTATGGCGGAAAATCGAAAGGAGTTGGAGATTGTTGTTTGGTGTTGGTGGTATATTTTGAATTGATAAGGTGAGTGTCTGGTTAGGGAGAGAGAACAAATTAAACCCAAAAAAAAAATGATAATGGAAAACGAGAAAGTGGACTCTAACAAAATTATCTAAGGAGAGAGTGGTCAAGGCCACACGAATGACTTTGGATTTTAATCGGTTTGGTATTAATGTACAGGATATTTTATTATATATGTACTCGGAAGATATTAAGAGGTGCTTATAAATAAAGTACAAATGATGGTGAAATTAAAAATAAGGGTGTTTATTATTCAGATAAAAATCAGAATTCAATTTAATCCAAACCGTTAATTCGAATCGGATCCAAATTTTAAATCGGACCAGATTGAAATGGTTTGAAATTCGGATTTTTAAATCGGATCGGATAGGATTGACCTTATTTGGATCCAGAAAACCAAATTAACCGAAATATGAAACCATGTAAAATTAGGTTGGTAATTACATTAATACTTTGTATAAATTATGTAAAATTATGTTTTTAATATTTGTATTAATCGTGTACAAAATGTATTTAAGACTAAGCTTTTTATTACTGTATATTTATTTTTATAATTATTTTAGTCCCTAAAAATTTGCAATGTATTTTAATCAGATTTATTGATCAAATCCAAATAACCGAATTTTAATTCAAATTGGATTCATGAGAAATTAGGATCGGATTGGATCTTAAAATCAAATACCGATTTTTGTATTAACTTATCTAACTACGTGGAATTAATTGATAACATAATCATATAATAATACTGATTTTTATTATTTAATAGCAAAATTATTTCATTAATTAAAAGTCATACGACATCTACACTATAGATTCAACGTTAACAAATATACATAAGATATTGAATCAAATAAAATTTTTGTTCATAAAGACTACGATCGTCGAGTAGATTTTGCGGTGTGGAACATCTCCAGCTTATATCGCTGGATGGAAAATATATACAGTCTTGTTAGAGAGACAATCTATCGATCCTTTGTAGTTGTGAGGATGTTTTTTCATCTAATTCATCTGTATGCATTCGAAAACTTGATAACTTTTTCACCAACGAAATAATTTCATGACAATCCATTAGATCTAACATTATGAATTCAAAACTAAGAAATTTCTCCCCCGAAAAGAGGAGGTAAACCTTGTCTTTCAAAAGAGGTCGAAAAAGCCTTCTCTTTCGAAGGAGATCGAAAACTCTTTTTTTCGAGGGAGAAAAGTTCCTCCCAAAAGGAGGAAGCATTATTATAAAAACCTAAAAAAAAACTTTAAAGAAACTAAGATTAGAGCTTTTCACCGGTTAAAACCGATGGAAGCCCTTTTAAAATTCAACAATGGAGGTCAGGGTTTTGGAGAGAGGAAGGAGGAGAGAGAGGATAGAGTCTGACATTAATAATACTCAATCTTGTAAACCAATAATAATACCTAATCTTTGAAAGAGAAGAAAAGGAAGATCAGTGGATGAGAGAAAATATTGTCACGAGGATAAAAGTATTAGTTATCAGATGCATGAAAACAAACAAGAAATTAGGGCAACACTACTTACTATCCCCAAAACTGATTAATGTTAGTTTCTACTACTTATGGAATTGAATATGCGTTCATTGATATATATTTTTGGATGATTTGGATGCTAGAATTTGTGTGGATGCATGGCTTCCTTTCCATGTTGAGGGTATTTAGATAATAGAGTGTTCAATATTACTGAATTTGGTTGACCCAACTTGACAACTAGTTCATTTTAGTTGACTTTTACACTATTTACATACTTACTTTAATTATAATTTTTAATATATATATATATATATTAAAAATTATAATATATATATTTTGGTTGCCGTTCATTACAACCAAGATATTCATTACAACCAAGCTATTGTAAGTGTTATGGTCGTCAATTTTCTTTGTAATTTTTATCGATGTCAAATGTAAAAAATGTTAAAAGGATGAGAAAGATACGACATACTTGATTTGTAAACTAAATTGGTAATTTATACTATCTCCGTTTTTTAAGTTGACACATTTTGACTTTAGCATGCACTATTCACACACTCCCCTTTGTCCGTAATTTGTGCCTTAAACGTAATGAAAAATATAGTCATGTGAGACCTTGTTAGATTCGTCACGATATATATTTTCAAAATATCAACTTTTCATAATTTTTGCTTATCGACAATTAAATGTGCATTGACAAATGTGACTAAGAATTAAAACTTGTCAACTAAAAAGAAACGGAGGAAGGATTTATGTAATTTTATGGGAAAGACTATAGGTACACATAGTGTACAAAATAATATTGTACACAAAAATGCTATTTGTGGAAAGGGGCCGCTGATTTGGGCACACCCAAAATTTATAACCATACACCCCTTTGGCCCCACTGTAAGTTACTTTCCTAATTTCCTTCTAATTTGCACTAAGTCTCACGTGTCCATTGCCAATGTTTTACTTTTTTTTTTTTTTTAATTTTATTTTTTTATTTGGACTTTTGTGGGTAAATTACCCAACTTCCAAAATCATAAACATTGATTTTGCTTTTTACTCCATCCCCCTTTTTACACTCCAGTACTCCACCATTAATTTGATACCTCAAAAGCTTCAACCTTTTATGGAAATTCACCTTTTTAATATATCTCAATTGTAATTGCACTTTATTATAATTAGGAAGATGGATGGAGAATTTGATTTTGAAGGGATTAATGATAATGAATTTTGGGAGCTTTATGGGCTAGATGATTTGCATAATGTACTAGAGGAGAATGGCCATGAAGACTGCAATTCTTCACATTCTCATATGAATGGTAATAATTTTCAATCTTGATCTATTTTTTACAAGCACCTTTGTAATTGGGGTTGGATTTCACTCAATTATACAATAAAATTAATCTAGGGTTTAAAAGGAAGTTTTTCATAATTCTTGATAATGAGTCAAATTGATTCCAATATTGTTATACCTTAGTATTATTAAATCAGTTTATTTGCAAATTATATGTCTCAATTTCAGCTTTTTAAGGTTTGGTGATTAAAAATAGTATAATAAGATTAGTTTAATTTTAACTTTGGTGTTAATCAAAACCAAAAGAGTACTATTGCAAAACCAAAAGAACAAACTCGTTTTATCGAACTCTCAGCAGTAGGCTAAATTTATATTTTTAATGGCTTTTTTATTATTCAAAATATAATTTTGTGACTATTCTTGTTAATTTTTTTTATTGTATAGGTTCACCAGAATTTGATAATCATCAACCTCCTCAAACGCCCACTAATATGTATCAACTTTCATCCCAAAAATTTTCAAATAGAGAAATATTGTTGGAGACTGTTCGAGGAATGGCCTACTCACTAGGCTTTGTTACGGTGATTCAAAAATCCAAAAAAAAATAGATGGGTTATTATTGGTTGTGATCGTGGTGGATCATATCGAACTAATCGTAGTCGTATCCCTAATAGTGGAAAGAAAAAGTCAGGAACTCGATTAATGAATTGCCCATTTCAAATTTGTGGAAGAATGAACCAAGACACTAGTTGGAGAGTCGAAATTAAAGATCTTTCTCATAACCATGATTTATCAAGTGATATTTCGGGACATCCTTATACCCGACATTTCTCAAGGGAGGAAGTTAATGAGATTAAAGAGATGATTGCTGCCGGCATTGCTCCACGGCAGATACTTACAAAACTTCGAAAAGGTAATTCTAATCTAAAAGCAATATCTAGAACACTTTATAATGTGAAGGCTAAAATTATTAAAGATGGGCTAGGAGGCCGTTCAATGATCCAAGCTTTGATGGATGAACTTGATAAAGGTGGTTTTATGTATGATGTTGAGTGTGATAATGAAGGACATGTAACACATTTGTTGTTTTCTCATCCAAGATTGATTGAATTAGCAAGAATTTACTCATATACTTTTGTGATGGACTGCACTTATAAGACTAACAAGTATAAAATGCCTTTACTTGATATTGTTGGAGTTACTAGTTTTAATACATTATTCTTTTGCGGTTTTGCCTTCTTATTTAAAGAGAAGGAAAGTGATTATGTGTGGGCACTACAATAATTTGGTAAGATTTTGGGTTATGATAAGCAACCATCGGTGATTGTGACTGATCGAGAATTGGCTTTGATGAATGCAATTAAAGTTGTTTTCCCTAATACTTGTAATTTGTTGTGTGTATGGCACATTGAAAAAAATATTTTAGCAAAGTGCAAGCCTTTTTTTGATGATGGTGATGAATGGGATGTGTTTATGTCCGGTTGGACAAATTTGATTTTGGTCTTCAACTGAAGATCAATTTAATGAAGCTTGGTCTGAAATTGAAGTGAAGTATGGGAAGTACAGGGAGATTCTCATTTACATTCAGAATACTTGGTTTCCATGAAAAATTATTTTGTTAGAGCATGGTCAAGTGAATATATGCATTTTGGGCATGTTGTTAGTTCTAGAGCCGAAGGTTCACATGCTACTTTGAAGAAATACCTTGAAGTTTTGAGTGGTGACCTTCGCACAGTGAAGGAAAAAATTTGTCATGTTGTTGATCATCAATATAATGAGATTAAAACACAATTGTCAAGTGAGAAGATACGCATTCCTCATGACTTGCGTATCCCCTTCTTAAGTAAGCTCATAGGTCATGTTTCTCATTTTGCATTAAGAAAACTCCTTAACCAATTTGAGCTAGCTTATTCCGATTCTTTGTCTCCTACTTGTACTGGTCAGTTTTTAAAAACTATGGGTCTTCCTTGTGCTCACGTGATGAGAAGGATGACAAATGAGGATTTAAAGCTTGACAACATTCATTACCAGTGGAGAATTGACAACATATCACTTTCAAAGAACGGAGAGAATCAAGATGTTCATGGAGATCGAAATGATGTGCTTGTACAAGAGTTACAACTCAAATATTAGCAATTGCCTCTTACTAAAAAAGAAGGTATTCGAAAACAAATTTCTCAATTTGTTAGTTCTTCAAGTCCTTTGGTTCTTGAACCCATGATTCGTCAATCTAAAATCTTGGAACTAATTCAAGAAAAAAGAAAAAACAAAGTACTTCTACAATAAAGAGGGATCCTTCAGGTTTTGAGATGGTCGAAAAGGTCAGAAGGTGCAGCATGTGTGGCAACACGAATCATGGTCGTAGAAGATGTCCTAAAAATACTACTCAAAATTCTACAATGTCCTTCATGCCTCCAATTTTGAATGACTTGACTAGTCCATCCACCTCTTTTGTTGTTGATTTGAACCTTTTGCCTCCAAACTCATATTATAATAACCCATCGTAAGGCAATTTTTTTTTGATAAGTTGTGTTTATATTGTCATGCTATTGTATATATTATTATATAAAGATATTATATTATCATGTTTAATTAATATTATGAAGGTCGAGAATATTTGATATTATGTGATGTCCACGATATAAAGTGCAAAGACACTAATTAAGGTAAGTTTGTGGATTTTTTTTTTTTTTTTTTTTTTTTTTTTGTAGTTTGGTTATCTTGTATGTTTTATTGTCTAAACTAATTATTATATGTTATTGTAGTTTTGTCGTAATGGATGCAGGTTTTGTCATTGGAGTAGTTAATTGGAAGTTACTAGCACAAGATCTTTGGATTAGCTTTGGTTGATAAATCGTATTTATGTATTTTTTGAGACAATATTTGTTGATTTAACTTTTGCCTAACTTTTGTATTTTGTTAAAAACTTAATTTGAGATAATCATAGCTATTAATTTAAGATGTTTAATATTATATAATATCAAATTGATTAATTATAACGTTAAAATTTTTGAAAAGAAAAAAATTGTCATTTTATATTTATGTAAAAAAATAAAAAAAAATCAAACTTGACTCAAGGTTGAAAACTACTGCCGTTGTACAAGAAATACTTAATACTTGTTTCAGACTTAGAACAAACAAAAGCTATTACTACGGAGTACAAAAAAAAAATACGAAGTATTAACGATAGAAGAAAAAGGAAAATTTGCAAATTGCAGCCATTTAAAGTTCGTATTTTGCAAATTGCAGCCATTTGAATTTTTTTTTACAAGTTGCAGCCCAAAAGTTCGTATAAATTGTAAATTGCAGCCCGATTTAATTTTTTCATCGGTTTACATGTTGAAAAATTTTCGGTTAAGGTTTTAGGGGTCATTTTAGTCCCTAGAGACCCGAATTGAGCTCGGAATTAGCAAAAAATAACGTAAGTGTCTCATATTTACAGTTTCCCACAAATCAATACATTTTTATTACGCAAAACGAGATACTTGTGTTATTTTTTTGCTAATTCCGAGCTCAATTCGGATCCCTAAGGGCTAAAATGACCCCTAAAACCTTAATCGAAGATTTTTCAACTTGTAAACCGATGAAAAAGTTGAATCGGACTGCAATTTACAATTTATATGAACTTTTGGGCTGCAATTTGCAATTTTATTTTTAAATGGCTGCAATTTGTAAAATACGAACTTTAAATGGCTGCAATTTGCAAATTTTCCGAAGAAAAATAATGCATAAAGTGAAGAAAAAGTCAACTATCAAATAGCTTTCTCACTTTCTCACGTGCATTAGAAGGAAAAAAGGAAATTACCTTATAGTGGGGCCAAAGGGGTGTGCGGTTATCAAGTTGGGGTGTGAGCAAATCAGTGCCCGTGGAAAGGGTATCTTCTATTTATGTGGGTCATCACTTTTTTCATTTGAATTTCAAACCATATTTTTGAAATTTTAAAGTTTTAATTTCAAATTTACTCTAACCTTTCAACTACCTAATTTCATCTAATATATAATCCCAAAAAAATTGCCTCTAATTCTTTTCCCCTAATTTTTTCTCTCTCTCCAATTTTTATTCTCTCTGTAGTCCTCATAGAAAGCAATAACAAATGAAGAACATTTAAGGTTTCTGGAATTCTTAATTGTGTCGTGCTATAGTTTGCCGGTGAGATTGTTGCGGATGACTTCGTCTTTAATATTTTTTTCCTCGGCATGGTGACCAGCCGTCAACCAGTAGTTTATAACTAATTAGATTACTTTAGATGTTAATAATTTTGAAGATTAAAACTATTTTAATACAAATTTAGTTGATACGAATTAATGTTGTAAATTTTCGTAGAATTTGTAGTTGAAAATTGATTTAATGGTGCTGCCGAAATTGCCGAATTTATAGGATTTAATCTTGTAAATATCATTGGGAAAATTTCATGAACCACGTTGAACCAATGTGAAGAAAAAATAGAAGATAAAATAGGCTCCCTAGGTTGTGTCTTCACCCCCCAACACCCACATTCCATTCCTCATCGCTGCACACATCTTCGGTCATGGGTTGCACACAAGTCGACCCCCTGAGAACCTCAACAGTAGTAGCGTCAAACGGAAATTCATTCTAAAAAACATTGACATCCCGAGAAACAAAAATCTCCTTAGTCTCCAAATCATACAATCTCCAACCTTTTTTCCCAAAGGGATATCCCAAAAAAACACACTTCCGGCTCCTACTAGAAAACTTGTCACCCTTACTACTTTGATTATGAGCGTAGCACAAGCATCCAAACACCTTCAAATGATCATACATAGGCTGTTTACCAAACAAAACTTCAAACGGAGATTTAAACCCAAGCAACCTAGAAGGAGTACAATTTATCAGATGACAAGCCGCTTGCACACATTCCCCCTAAAACTTAATTGGTAAATGTGCTTGAAATCTCAAGGCCCGGGCTACATTAAGAATATGTTGATGTTTACGCTCAACACGTCCATTTTGTTGAGGCGTTCCCACACAAGAAGTTTCAAATATAATCCCATTAGCAAAAAAATAGTCCTTTAAGGAATTGAATTCCGTGCCATTATCACTACGAACTATTTTAATCTCACACTCAAATTGACGTTTAATTAAAGCAAAAAAATTAAGAAACATCAATTCAACTTCTGTTTTATTACGTAATAAATACGTCCACGCTCCTCTTGAGAAATCATCTACTATAGTTAAAAAATAAAGAGAACCACAAGTCGACTCGGTCTTGTAAGGACCCCACAAATCAACATGAATGAGTTCAAACAAACGACTACTTTATTTGTACTTATGGGAAAACTACTCCTATGTTGTTTTTCCCGAGGGCATACATCACATGCTTTAAGACTCCTATTAGAACTACTCACAACTGGAAGGTTTGTAGAATTTTTCTGGAAGGATGCCCCATTCGTTGATGCCACAATTTTGCCGATTGATCCCTATCTATCTTCAAAGCCTTCACCTCAAGGAACACCACGGAAATAATAAAGTCCATCTACTCGTTCACCCGCTCTAATCACCTTCCTCGTCGTTAGGTAGTAAATTGCAGAGTGCAATTTGATTCATCACATAATTGAGTAGCGGATATTAAATTGTAATTTAATTGAGGCACAAAAAGAACATTATCGATCTTCAAACCCCCATGCAAATCACAAAGTCAATTTTAGATGCATTAGCACTTTTCTCATCCGGTAGTCCTACCGGACAATGTTGCACATTAGAAATATTTGTCAAAAGGGAAAAATCACAAGTCATATGGTTGGATGTGCCGGTGTCAACGATCCAACCTAGGCCAATTGATCCTTACCATGAAGCTTTGATTTCATAGTCGAAAGATGATCAAGAATTTGCTGAATTTGTGCTGGTGTCACCCCTGCAAGGGCAACCCCGTCCGCTGCCATAACACCACCAGTGTGCATGTTGTGAGAAGTGGTTTGACCGCTTGTCTTGGCGCGCACTGGAGCAGCAAGTGCACTGATTCGCCCCCACCTCGGCCACCACCATTGTTGTCTCCGGAGTCTCCACGAACCCCTCCTCGACCTTCACGCCCACGGTTACCCTACCAAGGAGGGTAACCATTAATCTGAAAACATCCTGCTTCATCATGTCCGACCCGATTGTAATGATTGCAAAATTTATCAGAGGAATTATCACTTGAACATTGTGGTTTGGGTGTAGCATCATGTTGGAGCTTGAACGCCACTACATTATCACGGACCGGCTGACTGGATAGGGCAGCCTCACCCCCCTAAGAGTTCTGCTTGTATAAGTTGTTGATATACCCTATCAACCGTGGGTATCGGATCTTGATCCAAGAGTTGACCCCGAAGAGACCCATACGCATCATCTAGCCCAATCAAAAAGTGATGGACAAAGTCCGTCCTCTTGTCTCAACCTTTTAACCTACGCCACTATGTTACACTTACATGCCCCACAAGAGAAATTAGGAATAGTCAGGTAAGTGATTAACTCATCCCATATTTTAGCAATCCAACCAAAATAAACGGCTAATGAGTCTGTCTTGCCCTGTTTACACTCACCTAGGGAAATCTTCAATTGACAAATTCGTGTACCGCTTACCACGCAAAATCAGTTTTTCAAGTTAGTCCATAACAACTGAGCGTCATCATATTCTCCAATAATACTTCGCACCAAAAGGTCCAAAGTATTTGTTATCTAGGCAACCAACATCGAGTGAATGACCACCCAGTCTTCTAGTCTATCCGCATCCACGGGTTTCGTGACAGAGCCGTCAATAAAACCATATTTCTGTTTTGCCTTCAACGAGGTACGAATAGCCCTCGCCCACTCATCGTAATTCTCACCTCGAAGTTGAATCGGTGTAATAATGTTTCCTGTTCCATCGCTTGAACCAAGGTAATAAGTCATGTCCACCTTAGCCTTTCCTCCATCACCACCAGTCATCTCTCACGACTCAACAAGGAAAGGTTAGAAAAATTGTCAATGAAAATCTGCTCACAAACTCAGGAAAATCGTGCGTCAATTATGGAGATTGAACATACGAAGAAAAAAAAAATTTAGACCTTTACGAGGCTCTTGATACCATGTTAAATCAGAGGTAAAGTATGAAAATAATTCTCTGTATTCTCATTCAACTTCATGGCCAGAATACAAGTATATATAAAGTTAGGATAACAACCTAAACTTTACACAATATTCTATCTTTTTAGAAGATATGTCACCTAAATTAATCACAATAATATCCTAGAGTATATAGAATATCTCCAATAAATAAACACTTTATAAAGTAATTCCCTAGGATAATTCTTTTGTCGGCAATTTATTTTAGGGATGAAGCCTCATTATTTGATCTTGTAAGTGTTCCAAATTTAACTTTCCTCAATTATTATAAACGGATGCAATTTAAGCTCATTTGATCAATACTAATTTGACATACTCAATTGAGGTTTGCAACCTATTTAATGTCCAGGATTTGGAACATTTACAAGAATAAATCCTACACTAATTCCTAATAGCCATCATATATATTAAAACATTTCAAAGTGTTCGAAAACACACAGTCTTTAACCCATTCATTCTTCTTATTACTTTTATAAAATTTCACACTTTTCAAACTTCTATTTCTCGTCATGTTTAATTATATTTAAACAAAACTTAGTAAATAACATATTATGCGCAATTTAATCCATCATGCTTTCCACTAAATACAACTTTTGCATTTGCACATGAAGCTGAAAGAATGTTATTGGCTATCTTTCCAATTGTTGATGTGATATTGAGAAAGACATCAACCACTTCTATTCCGTCACAAGGAGCCGCCTTGTTGCATGCAAAAGAAAGAGGAGTATTTGATGTTGTGGTACCCCTAATGTTCTTGAAATGGACATTTGTGATCTTTGCGTAATTTGGCTACATAAATAATAAGAAAATTACTTTAGATCACTATCAATTATATCCTTTATACATAGTTAAAAAAAATAATCAAAAAATTTAAGTATGTGACAAGCAAAAACTACTCATCAATAATTATTTATTATTAGTTAAGCCCTATTTAACTCGCTTTAAAAACAATATTTAATAATAAAAAAATATATAAGTTCGGTAAAAATGATTTCAGTTCAGCATAAATCAGTAACTCTAAAGAAGATATATGATAGAGAATCAATAAAATTAATCCCAGTTCAATAAATAATTTCAGTTCAACAAAAATAATTTCAATTCTGTAAATATAATTTCAATTCAGCAAAAATAAAGTGAAGTGAGCAGAGCCTTGCTTAATCCATTTGAATATTTTCCTAGTCTAGCCGATCCTTCTTGTATGATTATAAAAGATACGACGTAGGGCCTGTTCACATTTATTGAACTGAGCTGAACTGAACTGAACTGATTGGAGTTGAACTGAACTGAATTGATTAGAGTTGAACTGAACTGAACTGAGCTGAAATGAATATTTTTTGAGAGAGGAAAATTAATAGCTAAACTGAACTGAACTGAACTAAGCTGAACTGATTGGAGCTGAACTGAATTGAACTGATTGGAGCTGAACTGAACTAAACTGAACTGATTGGAGCTGAACTGAACTAGTTTGAAATTAAGTAAATGTGAACAGGCCCGTAGTGTGTACAAGATAACCTTATTCTATTTATTTTTATTTATCGTGGCAAAAGAAACATGATATTAAGACATAAAATAGAAAGCTAAAAAAATATGACTATGAAATAAAAACCTTATCTGGTATCGGTGGATAATCTTGTTTAATAACGATTGGATTTAGGGTTTGATCCATTGTTAGATCTTCAAAAATAATGTTTGATACTTCTCCTGGTTTGTCTGTTGGCCGAGGGTTTATTCTTGCACCAAATTGTGTTCCTTTGAAAGTACAACTCTTAACTGTTACCTTTTTCACATTATAATCAGGGTGAAAACCATCTAGTTGGGCTCCAACACTGTAACAGACATATTTTAAACACGTTACAATATTTGTGAAACATTAATTGTTGCAATATTTGTGGAATGAAGGAAGTATTATCTTGATTAAAAAAAAAAGAGATTACCTGATTCCTTGTCCAGCAACACAGGTGACTCCGGTAATAGATATATCACTTGAACCACCTGAAACTGTTATGCAATCATCACCGGATTTGATTCGACTGTTGGATACTGCCACCAAACTAGATCCACTAATGTAAATGGCATTAGAGTGTGTATTAGGCTTAACAGTAGTAGCTTCAAAGTTGGTATTGATTATCGATATATTATGGCTATTTTCAACCAACAGATGGAATGCTGAAGGATTCATGGAATGTATTCCATCAACCACACAACTTGTTGCATTGCTGAACTTTATACTCTACAATTCAAGTTAACAAGGTTTATGTGAGACTAACCGAATGCGATAGTGCAAAAATGAAAGAAAATATTACTCCCTTTGTTATTTTATTAGAGTCTCATTTCTAACATTTATTACGCACATAATAAAGAGAAACATGACTCTAATAAAAGGACGGAGGGAGTATTAAAAATATTTTCTAACAATAAAATACTTCCTTCGTTAGTTTTTTTTATTTTATTTTAATTTTTTTTTTAATTGCAATGTTGGGAATTTTCACGCTTGCTAATACATAAATTTTGCCATTAATATATTTAATTACAACTCCATTAAGAACTATACTTCATATACTACGTATAAAAAAATATTTTAAAAGTATAAAATCAAGATGAATCTTACAAGATCCCACCTGATTATGTTTTTCTAAACCAAACATATAAATCGCAAAAGACAGAAAGCAGTGTGTGTGAATATTGCAAAACCTTTAATGTTGTGATTAAAAAAGAACGGAGGAAGTACTTGGCTTTTTTTCAACGATCATCCTTTGTAACCATCTACCCCGTCGCTATAATAAAAAAAATGATTTGAATGTAGTAATGACTTAGGCCCTGTTTGATTCACCTTAATTTTGCTGAACTGAAATTATTTTTACTGAAATGAACTTATTTTTACTGAACTGAACTTAATTTTACCGAACTTAAATTATTTTTACTGAACTTAAATTATTTTTACTGATTTTCTATTATAATTCTTCTTTAAGAAAATTGAATTTTACTAAACTGAACTTATTTTTATTGAACTGAAATTATTTTTACTGAACTGAAATTAATTTTACTGAACTGAACTTATTTTTACTGAACTGAAATTATTTTTACTCAATAAGGTGAAGAGAACAGGGCCTTACAGGCATGATTTCCGAGAACACAAAATCTTTCTCAGGGTCAGCTGCCAATGGTGGCTGATTAACGTTGATAGCTCCGGTACCGGTGAATGTAGCTCCCTCTACTTGTTGGAAGACAATCAATTCTTGATTAGGGAACACACTAGGATCAGGGTCAGCTAAAATAGTTCCATGAAGTTCAACGGTTACATGAGATTGGCAAGGTCCGGCAAATAAGACTTGTGCAACTACAAATGTGCCTTTAGGAATAACCAACTTTGATGGTCCAATGCTATTGCAAGCCTTTTGCCAAGCTTGAATAAAGGCCTGCATTCAAATATAAAGTAACAAAACTATAAGATCAATGCAAGTTTAATTTTAACCACATTATTCCTTATTTCTAGAGCTGTCAAAAACTGACCCGACCCGAGAACCCGACCCGAACTGGCAATGATCTGAACCTAATCTGTACCCGAACAATGGGGTGAAATTAGTGACCTGTAACCCGACCTGAATCAACCTGACGTTAACCAACAACCGATTTGATCCAATATTTTATGACCTAAACCCAAAACTGCACCCGATTGGATAGTAACCGTCAACCGATTTAATCCGACCCGACAACAATCTGAACTCGAATTAGTACCTAACCTAATTAAAACCTGAAAACGATTATAACCTAACAGAACCTGTTATTGACCCGAGTCATGAAAGGTTTAATAAAATTTTACACACCTTTCGTTCAACTTGTACAGTTCTATAAACCCTTAATCCTTAACTAAATATTGGTACAATTTGTTCAGCTTGTATACCTTTTGTTCTCTATTACTTTGCATATAGACTTAAAAAAATCTTGATAATGTTTGATCAAATTATAAAAGGCGTAATTATATAGGTTCAGTTTCACTACATCGATATTTATTCGAATTGAATTTGAATCAAAACCAAGAATGAATGATCTAACTTTAAGATTATCCGACCAAATAATTATCTAACCCAACCCTAACCCCACCCTAAACTCGGATGTACCATCTATTACCCCGCCCAAACTCGACTCAACACAACTCGAACCTGAAATTGAACCCGATCTGAATTTGACTCGAATCGAACCCGACCTATCCCCGAAAAGGAAAACGACCCGGAATAATTTAAATCGAAATTGACCCGACCTGAACCTAATGTGAGGCTAGATTGACCCGACATAATCTGATCCTAATTCATCCCGAAACTAATCCTAATAATTCAACCCGAAACCTGATTTGACCCGACCTGAACCCGACTTGAATACCCAAATTCACAGCTCTACTTTTTTTTTTTTTTAGCAAAATTGACAGCTCTACTTATTTCATATCATTTGTCAATTTACAAGAATAATAATGTATTATATATATATAAACAATCAATTTAATTTGCATAATATACTTCAATTTTGAGCAGCAACAAGTATGTATTACGTGCTAAATATACAATTTTATTAAAAATTCATTGAATTATTTTGGAAACAAAACTTGGATAACTATTTTACAATCCTGTTCATAATTTCTTTTTGAAACCCTGTTCATAATTTCTTAATCAATAACATAATATACTAAAAGAGGCACCAGGAAATGACATGTGCTGTTATTTCCCTCCAAAACCATCCTCTCTCTTCTCTTTCCAAAAACGTTTTAGAAAATATTTATATAACTTGATTTGTAATTCTTTTATTATACCTTTGATATATACACAATTAACTAAAAGATTATTTTAAATATATTATAATTCGTATCTTTTCTTGCCAAAATCTTTTAAAATATTATTTGTATAATATGATTTCTTATTTGGTCATTTTTTTTTTGTGTTAATCGATCATACTTTTTATTTAACGAGATACATTTTATATTGTGTTAGAGAAAAATAAACTAACTATTTTCTTTTCCCCCAAAAATTACAAGATGGTGACATTAGCTAAACTCCCTTTCCTCTATTTAATCTCATCTTATAATATCACATCCTATTTTGTTTGTTTTTCTTTTCCACTTCCTACAAACATTGTTATTATTTTTGTATGTATTGATTTAAAACTATTTTAATACTATATAGCTTTAATTTACGCAAAATTAATTTTTTGGTTAAATACATGCATTGCACGGGCACTAACCTAGTCATCTCTAATTATTGACTCATAGAATCGAACAACTAACTTATGTTAAAGCATATAAAGGTTTCAAATCTAAATAGCAGGTTGAAATTGTCTTAAACTTTTCCAAAATAAAAATTAATTATACTTTTCCATCGAATTTTAATAATATAATGATTTTCACTAATATATATTTCATACATATATTAATGATTAAGGTAAATTTGAGCATAAAAGTCAAAATATATTTAATAAATAATTGGGATATAGCCATATAGGGAGCAATGAAGTAAAGTAATTTTTTTTTTTTTTTTGGGGGGGGGGGGGGGTTTACAATTAGGTTAAATAGTGGATCCAATTATCAATTAGAAGTTGTAGAATGAAGAGATCATAAGATGGGATTTGATTACAATGTTGGATGCATCTAAAAATCTATCATCATGGATTAGTCCACTCCTAACTTCCTAAGTCCTAACCTATCCAACCACCTACAAGATCACATCCACTTCTTTTGTCTTCCCATCTCTTCATTAAAAAATGTATTGAAAATTTTATTTGGAAAAATATACGACGATGGGTCATTTAGCACAAGTGACAGATCTTGGGTCGAAAAATTTGTCCATTTAGGGGCGGGGGGAGGACAAGGTTTGATCCTCAAACCTTTTGCTCAAATATAACAATACTCAAATACTATGCCATAAGTTTTTTAATATAACTATTAAACATTATATAACTTATATCCAATAACTTAGATAATAAGGGCGGCCAGTCCCCAACCTATCGTGGTCCGCCTCTGTTTAGCACATCGAATTTATAATTAATTTTGCGTGGAACATTCACTCTAGTTGGTATTCTCATAACCATAAATGATAACGGGGAAGAATATGATAGAGCTTTACCAGTGAATTGGAATTTTCACCATCTTCGGTGTATTCGGGCTTGCCATTTCCTTTTGCATCAAATTTCGTGACATCGAAAATGCTAGATTCGCTAGTGTGAGCAACAACTATTGTAACATCGTATAGGAAGAATGCCAAGCCTAAAACGAATAGAAGATTTTTACAAGATAACTCTCTTTTAATGGCCATTTTCTAATCTTAGTACCAAATAACAAGAAAGAAAGACAACATAGGGAATTAAGAAGCTAATGATTTACTATTTTTGCAATATATTAAACATTGGTTAATATTTTTCTTCAACTCCACATATAACGATTTGTATTAACGTCCTTTCACTTGTAATCATAGCATTGTTATTTACTCTTATCCATAGGTTGTGAGAATTTCTAGGGAAACTCTATTTATAGATTTTGAACACATTTATGCTTAAATTAGAATTTTTAATACAAGTTTATGAAAATATAAAACATAATTTCTACTTTCATTGAATAGGTTTATAATCTAGTATTCCATATATATTTTTTCAAGATTGTATGGCAAAATCACACATCGATTATTTTTTTTATGTTAATTTTAAATGGTTTATAATGCTTTTTATATGTCTGACATTTTTGCTGTAACCTCTTTATACATTTTATAAAAATATATGACAAAATCATGTGTTAATTATTATTATAATGTCAATTTTCTAAGGCTTATAATGTTTTATTTATGTCTGAACAGTCTGACAATTTCACATTTACCTCTTTCTATGAATCCTTATTAAATTTAATTCATTTTAAATAGTAATTAATGTCTCTGAAGAGTAATTCAAATGAGTCTTAACTAGTAATACACAATGCTTGATTAAAAAAAGAAAAAAAAAAGTAATACACAATGCTTTGCATTTTTTTCAATGAGTTTCTAATCTAATTTCTAGTGGAATGAAATTAGTATGCACTATAAGCCTAAAGATAATCAAATACACGCTAATTAACACCGACCAAAAGAGAACTTTCAATTTAAATATTAGTAAAAAAAACTCCGCAATTTCTATCTTACTCCTAGACTACCATGTTCAAAGTAGTTTAGTTTATAAAATTCATGTTATTTTGATTTGAACTTCTTATTATTTCAATTTATATATATGTTATTTTAAAATAAATAATACATGTTATTTCAATTTCGCCCTTTTCTTTCTCCCAACTAATCAAACCCAAAATCAAATACACTTTATCTCTCCTCTTTTCTTCTTGTAGTTTTTTGGGTTTCCCATAAATCAACCTCCCACACTCACTCTCTATCTTCCTCTAAGTCTAAGCTACCCCAACTCAAAATCACACACTTTCTCTATCGCCTTTTCTTCTTCAATTTTTTGGGTTTCCTAGAAATCAACGGATTCGAAGCCATTTAAGGGTTCAAATGTGTTCATGTCCAGAAATTTAGTACCCCTTGAAGTATTTGATTCTCTTCATGATGCCCTAAAATTCAACGCTACTAATGTTATTTTGATGTGAGCTTCTTATTATTTCAATTTATATATATGTAATTTTTAAATAAGTAGGAAAAAAGGAAAAGAAAAATCCAACATTTGCACATTTTCCTCCTAAAAATCCAACCTTCATTTTATTCCTCCAAAATCCAACCTTTATTTTATTCCTCAAAAATCCAACCTTTATACCCCTCCTTCTCTAACAGATTCATTTTACCTTCAACCTGTTAAACAATTTTTTTTTTTTTTAAATTCTCTCAATTTCTTTTCTCACTCCTCTTTTTTCCTCAAAAACGGAAACAACCCAACTACCCACCAGTACGCCACCAACACCACCAGAACACCGTACCACCATGACACGATTGTTTATAAAAAAATCTTCTCACCCCCTCCCCCACCAAGCACCACCACCCCTAGCTCCTCCACACCGACCTCCCTTCCCTTCCCCCTGGTTCAGTCACTCCCAAACCCCCTCCACCGCCGGAATCATCCAAGGAGGAGAGAGACTCGCTTCTTTAGCTGACACATTGTGTCAGTTCCCGAAGTTATCAATGAAATTTGTGAACCCACTTCTCGTCATCGTCTCTCTTTTCTCCCTTTCACTATTGATACCTTGGAACCCTCCCCTGAATCTCTCAGAAAAGGTTTGTTTCTATCTTTATTTCTTTTGTTTTTGATCAATTTGGTTGTTAAATTTTTGGGCTTTGTTCAATTTGTCTAGTTTTGTGTTATCATTGACTAATTGGGCTGAATTTCAATTGGGTATTTTATAATTGTGATGTTGAATTGTTTTCATGTCGATGTTCCTGTAATATCCCTTATTTTCAAAACGTATTTTTTTAATTAATTAATTAAGTAGTATTCTTAAAAAGGGTATCTTGATAATTTATTTTACTATTTGAATTTTGGAGTCAAAATAATAATTGAATTTTGGCGCTAAAACTCAATTATTATTTTAGATTTTGGATAAGATTTATTATCCATTTGTTTTATTTAAAAACCCAATTATTTATATATATATTTCGGATATTTTAATTAAATAAAATTATATTTTATTATTTAATTAAAGGGCCGAATTTCCTAAATAATTAACTAGGAATTTTTCTAATTTTCTTGATAAAGAAAATTTGATTTTCGTAGTTAAATTAAATAGTGAATAATTAGTATTTTCTTAATTAATTATATTATTCAAAATATATTATTTACGCAATCATTTTTACTCCTTAAAATTTAGCAAATATTTCCCTAAAACTAGTTGTGCCTATGTGGAGGTCTAAAAATATGAGCATAGATATGTTCAATATTTTCAGCCACCATATGCTAAATTTGGGTTAATTATTTTGTTAATTTTGTATTTTAACTATCTTCCTCAAATTTTCTTATTTCCTAAATTCCTATTTTTTATCTCCCAAAGATTTGATCATCTTATTTTCCTACCTTATATCTTCCTTGAGCATTCTCTAAGTAATCTGTTTTGCTATATTATATTTCATGACAACACACACACCTTCCTTAAATTAATTATTCTTAGTCACCTTAATATTTAACTTTCCATAATTCTTTAACTCTCTTATCCAAGTAATTTCCTTAATTCTTTTTACCATAATTCTTCCTACATTCTCCTACCATAATTCTTTCATTCATGAGCCTATAAATACCCCCTCATGCCTCTCATATTCTTCACACCAAAATTCGATTCTTTTCTTCTCTCTTATTCTTCTTTTCCCTAAACCTGTTCATATTTTTCTTCTCCTCTTTTCATACAAATATTATCCCGTATACCTTGGAAGCTAGTTTTCGGGCACTTCTGGTCAATTTTTGGGGTATTGATGTTTCACGGGAGATTGTTTCTCTTAAAAACTCCTTGAGGTTAGGCTCAAGAATCACCCAATTCGAAGTTATATTCACTACGTGAAAAAATGAAATTGGCACCGGTTCAAATCCGACCTAAGGCACCGGTTTGAACCGGTGCCAATTACCTCCCTTTTTGGCACCAGTTCAAAACTGGTGCCACAAACAGGTTTTGGCACCGGTTAACCGGTGCCAAAAATACTCAAAAAAAAGTTTTATCCCTCCTTTTGGCACCGGTTAACCGGTGCTAAAAATGTCCAAAATTTTTTTTCACTTAACAATTAAATGAACTAAAAAAAATAACATCACAATATAAATCGAATTGGTTTCAATATAATCCAAAATTTACAATATATAATCAAATCCAAAATTACAATATAGATCAATTACAACTAACATATAAATAAATAAAAAAAATTACATTATAAATCATAAAAAAAATTACAATATACTCGTAAATCAAAAAGAAAATTACAATATGAACATATCAATATTCTTGCATAATCTGTACCTGCACCAATTAATATAGGAAAAAAAAAACTATTGGTAAAAATAAGCTTAAGAATAAATAAAAAAATCCAGAAATTCAATCCAAACAATTCAAACCCAGAAAAAAAGCATTAATTCAAACCTAGGAAAAAAAACAGAAATTGAAATCGAAATTAAAAAAATATCAAAATCGAAAAAAAAAAACCCAAAAATGAAATCGAAAAAAAAAACCAAAAATCGAAAAAACAAAATCAAACTCGAAAAAAAAAAACCAATTAAAATTGAAACCCAAAAAACCAAAATCAAAAACAAAATCCCAGAAATCGAAAACAAAAACCAAAATCAAAATTGGAACCTAAAAAACCAAAATAAAAAACAAAATCCCAAAAATCGGAAAAAAAAAAACCAAAATCAAAAACTAAAATCAAAATTGAAACCCAGAAAACCAAAATTGAAAAAAAATCCCACAAATCGAAAAAAAACCAAAATCGAAAATAAAAACCAAAATCGAAAAAAAAACCAAATACGAAAAAAAAAAACCAAAATCGAAAAATTTGAATCGAAAAAAAAACAGAACTTGAAAAAAAAAATCCCATAAATTGTTGTTGAAGTTGATGCCGGTTGTGGTGCTCGAACTTTGTGGTGGTGGTGGCGGCTGTCGTTGCGGTGGCGGCTTTGGTTGCCGCAGATCTAAGGGGAGAGGAGATTGAACCTTCGATGAAAGAAGATGGAGATGAAAGATGAAAGAAGAACGAAGAGATAGAGAGAGGAGATCGAAGGGAGATGAAAGAAGATGAAGATGGAGATGAAAGAAGAACGAAGAGAGAGAGAGGAGAGAGAAGGGAGAAGAGAGGAAATGGGGAATGGAGGCGGAGATAACCAAGATATTAGGGGGTTTAGGGTTAAATGTTCCGTTTTTTTTAAGGCTGGACCGATTCAGTGGCACCGGTTCAAACCGGTGCCCTTTGTAATTTTGGCACCGGTTTGAGCTGAACCGGTGCCATTACTCTTGGTCTAAAATCCCGCCCATTTTTAGGGCGGTTTTTGGCACCGGTTTGGTCTGAACCGGTGCCATTTATTATTGAATTAAGGGTAATGTTATATATAGCCCTAAGGGCTATGTATAAGCATTAAATATACTGTTGGAAATTGTATAAAATTAGGAATTCATGACAAAAACACGCGTAAATCAGTGTTATTAGTGTTTATATTTTGATGATTTCTTAACTTTTTACGATTTTCAAGTGTAAATTTAATGCTTATATGTAGCCATAAGGGCTATGTATAACATTTTCCTTGAATTAAAGCTTTACAAGCATGTTAGTAATCCCAATATGCGGATTTGGTTTGATAAGGCCTTGGACTTTGTATGACCGGGTCTTTCCTCAAGAAT